CAGCTTAGTCGAGGTAAAAGGTTGTGGAAATGGCATTTTTTTAACCCTTGAGGCCTTTCCTGTAGGCAACTATGGCTAAAGAGGGACTTTGATGAAAATGCTGCCAAGGATTTCCTGGCTGCAATCTTTTCCTTCCAAAGGAAGGAGACAAAAATAACCCAAAACCCGTTACTTTCATATTTCAGGCAAAGTTTAGAGGCAACTGGAGGGAACAGGGTCCAAAGCAACAAAAAGTGCACTTTTGATGAGAACTGAAAGAGGCTCATTCCAACGTCCCTCCTATTCACATGGCGGGGGAGGCCAGGACCCTAATAAGGGGAAAACCAAAGAATTATCAGAGGAGTGGGACACCCATGGGCATCTCCCAACCTAGAATTCATTTCTGGACACAGATGAGAGAAAAGTTTTGCTTATACATCTCTGTCCCGGCGGAACTTGGAAAGCACAGGCCAACTGTTATAATGACGAGTTTTCTCCCTGTCCACACTCTGGTCTCTGTCTGGCTTCTTCCTTTCCCCAACTGACCATAACTGGAGAGGTAATTAGCCATTCGTGCAGCTAGCTCTTCCTCTGGCTTTCTTTAAGCCCTTGGGGTAAAGTTCCTGGTTCCCAGACTGCCTCCCTGCCATCTGGGTCTCCCCATCCCCGTCGCCCCACCGCCCTGCCCTGGCTTTGGTGACCCAATTCTGGTGGCTACTTACTGAATCGGCTCTGCCAACTGCCCAGGAGGCTCTGTCAATCTGAGATGGGGCCATCAACTCCATCCCTTTCTGCAACTGATGCCGCCTGGGCCAGGCCCCAGAAAAACAAACTGCAGCTCTGTGGCTTTTTGGCAGCCCAGCTTTGACTTTTGTTTTAACAAGGGGTGGGAGGGAGAATTTGAACCCTGTGGTTATCTGCATTTTAAAACATTTAAACACAGTCTGTCCACCTGCTTGGCACTTTGTGTTCTCTATTAAGTCCCTCCGCCCCACCCCTTCTAAAATAGCAACAGCAATTCTGGGCCTTCTTCGTGGCTGCTTATATACATGGAGGACTGAGGGGGACATCTGAGCCCTGTCTTCTCCTTGGGGGAGCCCGTCTGCACTGGACTGCCGCTGGGATTCCTCAGAAAGGTAGATGAGCCAGAGCTGGTCCCCAACTCCTCGAAAGGGAAGGACCAAGGTAAAAAGAGGTACTATTTGTAAGAACCACTCTCCCACTGCCTACAAGATCCGTTTAGAGGAAGAGACTTCCTGGCCAAGAGTCTATAATTTCCTTTCTACACCAGACAATGGCCCTTCTAGCAGCTTTTTAACCATATTACTGATATGGGGGCAATGGGGAAATCAGAAAGAAAGGGGATAAAAGGGCAGGGGTGATGGTGGCAGTAAGGACATGGTTTAAGAAGCCCAAAGCTTGTTTCCAAGTGGAGGGAGTGAGGGGGGGGGCTTACAACTGTCTAGGAAACAGCCTTATTGTTTCCCCTCTCAACAGGCAGTTGTGAGAACCACTGCAATGCTGGTCACCTGGGAACTCTCTTCCCTAAGGACTCTCCCAGCTTCCCATTCAGTGTCCAGCATCCTACAGTGTCTTGTGTGAGTTCCAAGAAGATCAGAGTACAAAGTGTGTTAGTGAACTCTTCAAGCCTGGGTCACACCCCAAAGTTCAGGGCAACGTCACCACCCTTGTGCAACTCTGGAAGGTACAAGTGGTCCCAGCCTCAACCAAACCAGTGGCAAGACAGGGACTGTTTCCACAGGGCATTTAGCTGACAGTAACAGGTTAGGTGCACTGGAGAAGTCTCCAGACACCTAAGTTTGAGAACTGAGGAAGAAACACAGGGGGCTGTACCTTTAGACTCCCTCTCTCCAGGGGAGCTCTGTAGACAGAGACCTATAGAAAGATTATCCCTTTGAGGGACTCTCAGACACAGAGGCAGCTCCTTGATGCTCTGTGGGAAATTCTGGAACCTTGCGATTCTTACAAGAAAATGGATTTACAGCCATCCACAGAGCCCAGCCCAGCACTCTCAGCAGCTTGAGTACTGTGACATCTCTTCAAAAGATGGCAAGCCTGGGCATCAGGGCTGGCTCATGGATAGATCTAAATGGTGTCACTGCTAGGCACACACTGGAGAGAGCATCAGAGAGAACCCCAGGCAGGAGTTTCTGCAGCAGACCTGGTGGCCACAGCCCCTTAAGGCTCAGACCATATTCTCCAGTCTTCAGTCCACAATGTCCAAAGGGCACCAGAGAGCCCCTCCTCTCCAGAAGAACCACTTCTGGAACCCAGAAACAGGTTCTACTTGCCAACACTGTCCCCGAGAGAATGAGAAAAGGGCTGACCATTCCACGGTTTCCCAACGAGAGGAGGCAGTAACCAGGACCCCAGGATTCCAAGAGACCCCCCAGCAAGGACTTACACCAGAGTTCATAGTAGTAATTGCAGCACTGAGACTGTCCACAGCAGTGTCCTGTGTCACAGATGTAGCTTTGATTGTTGGTACCCACACAGGTTTCCTTATCCTAAAATAAATAAATAAATAAATAAATAGATAGATAGATAGATAGATAAATCCATTTCCCGTATTAAATTATAGCTTTTAAACATCCCCTTTCTTCTCATCCCTCTCTTCCTGGTAATCTGCCTGCTCCCTACCAAAATAGTTTCTACCAATGATTATTCCATTAAGAAAAAAATATTAAAAGAACCACACAACAAAAGGTTTAAGGGGGGAAAAAAAAGTTTTTATTAAAGAGGGAAGTGGGTTTAGCACACAAAGCCGACGGATAAAGAGCAGAGTTCTCCTCCGACAGGAAAGGGTTGCCTTGCTTTCTTTACGTCCAAGAGAAATACCCGATGTTCTGGTTTTAAACTCAGCCAATAAGAAGGTGATGATTCTCCTGCGATTAGCAGGACATTTTTAAGTAAAACCGGCTTTTCTGTGACAGTTCCTGGAATAATTAATGCAGTATGTATTCTAGGATTAGCATCCATCCTCCCTTCAAAACACATGGTCTCCAAGGTTACTTACAGTATGATTCAAATAAGGGCTAAAATTCTTCACTTTGAAGAAAAGGGACAACTTGTTCAACTGACCTAGTCCAATTTCAATTCACTAGATCATTCTTTGCTTATCAAATGCTCTCTTAATCATCTTGACTGGATCTAGGATTCATACTGTCCCTTCTCAGGGACAGTCACAGAAAGGGCACCGCTAAGTAACCCCCAAGCCATTTGCCAAGCTCTAGTCACAGCACTAATGGATAGGGATGGAGGAAAAAGGGCTTTTTACATTTCCCATTTAAGATATGAAACACCTCGGGCTGGCCGAGTGGCGCGTTGGTTAAGATCTGGCTTGGGGACGCCAGAGGGCCCAGGTTCAGATCCCACATATGAGGGCCAGTGACACTGCCCTCTACAGCTAAGATGCTGAACAACAGCTCAACCTGGAGCTGGGCTGCTGTGAGTCGCCAGTGACGGTGTAGGCTGCAGCCCCTGCTGCAGTGGGCTGCCATAAGCTACTGTGTGTAGCCAGCAGCCAGCGTGAGCAGCCGTCCAGAAGCCAGCGACTGATCTGCCTCGCCCGGGAAGAGTGCAATGATGGTGCCAACTGGGGCCAGTGAAGCAACGTCCTCCACAACTAGACTGAAGAACAAAAGGACAGCAACTTGTCTGTTCCCCTTCCCCCAATTCCCCAGCGCTGTTCCCATCCCCCAATTCCCCAATAAAAATCTTTAAAAAAAGATATGAAACACCTCCCGAGCCAACCAGAACTTCAGCTCAAAATGTTCTTTGGACTCTGGTGCATATGACGAGACCCCTAAGTCACCTCCTCTATCTGGCTTTCAACATGTCTTTATTCTAAAGAAGTAACACATGCATTTATTGGACACTGTCATGTGCCAAGCTCTATGTTGGGTACGAGGGATACAAAGATAAACGAGACATTGTCCCTATCCTCAAGAAGCTCAGAGGTAAGAAGGGGAAAAAAACCCTGCTCAGCAAAGAAACTAAAACCACAGTATTGTATTTGCTGCTACTCAGGCTGACCCTGCCCACAGTGCACATCCGGGTGGATGCCTGCCAGTGGAAACTTAAGTCACATGGTCGGTTCCTCCTCTCTGGGCCTGGCTTTACTAGGCTGTCCACTCGGCCAAGGGTATAAACAAAGCACACAAGTAACTGTCTACAGGGCTAGAGGCCCGGGAGCAACAGTACAGGCACCTGAAGCCACGGGGAGAGGACAGGACAAAGGGCACGGCTGAAAACCAGATCCCTGGCACAGTGCAGGTTTCCACACACGTCCTCAGGTGCTTCCTGGTCTTTAAGAGTCTTACATCCTGGTGCAAAGAGGTTTAGGAAGAAGGAAACATGGGAAAGGCATTTGTAAACTGACAATGAGGGTTTCACAATATTGCAAACAGAGCTCTTCCTATGTCTGCCTGCCTAAGTACACCATACACCACCTAGTGGGTGGCTTGTCCAGTGACCTGTCTCTCCCGTGAGGCCTGGCAACACACAGAGAAAGCGGATCTGTGCTCGCTTTTGCTAGAACACACACGCTCTGACTTCGGAGCAAAACCCTGCTTTCGCAAGAACATCAAGAAGCCTCCCGAGTCTGCCAAGTCCTGAAATGCCATTCTTCTGGCACTGCCTCACAGGGGCACGCAGTTCAAAGTATCCACACAGTTTCTAAAAGAGGCCGTGCTGCCTACACCCTGACATGTTCGAGAATCCAGTGACACTTCTGCCCGGGAAAATTCACCAGATGAGGTCCAGGATCTGCACACACACAGGCCAACTGGTCCTAAGTGAGGTGTGAACTGGAACGCGTTTAAAATCTCAACAAGTGGCATCTTCATTACCTACTGGTGTCAGCTTTCCTCTTGGCTCTTCCACCCCCCAAATGCAGGAAGCCTGATATAAACAGGACCCCACTCTTTTTCTCAGGGAGAGCAGAGCTGTAGTAGCACTAATCCAGTGTTCCTCAAACACCTTTAACCAGCATATCTCGTCCCGTGTTTTCCTCCTTCTGCCCCCAGATGAGAGTCCCCAAGCTGCCTGTGATGGTCTTGGTTATGGGAATGGTCATTTCTGCTGCAGGAGGAAGGAAAACAGTGGGCAGTTAAGAAAGATAAGTGGGGGCCAGGCGAGTGGCTCAGTTGGTTAAGAGCTCGCTCAAGAGTTTGAGCTCTGAGCAACAGTGGTTCAATGCCCAGGTGGCAGGATGGCTCAGCTTAAAAAAAAGAAAGATAAGTGGGCTCATAGGCCTTTAGCAAGGAAAAAAATAAAGGAAGATTGGGGGTAGTGAGATGTGAGTGTCGAGGTGAACTCCTCTAGAAAGACATGCTGGTGTGAGAAAAACAGGCAGTGCCTGGGGTTTGTTCCCAGTTCTGCCACAATAGAGAAACAGGACTCTAAGCAAGTTACTCAGCAGCCCCATGACTAGTTAAGGTGTACTCTAATGTCTCCTTCAACCCTAAGGCTTTATGATCCTACCCACCAACCATCCCCTCTGACATAGAGCCTGGAGCCAACTCCAGAGGTCCTGAAATCTGTCTCCTCTCATTCAAAGCAACAACAGCCAAGAACAGCGGTGTGCAAATGCTGCTTGGTGCTCTTCTGCCCTCCCCTGTGTTAAGGGGCTAACAGCAGTTTGCCCAGCAGACTCAAAGACCTCCATGCTCTTCACGAGGCCCAAGAGCCACCGAAAGGCAGGAGTGATTAAGAGTCAGTCAGATCTGCGTTCAAAGCCTGGTTTATTTACTTACTAAGCCCACTATACTTATTAACTGTGTGAGCTTGGGTATGTTACTTAACTTCTCTGAGCTCTTAATAGCAGTATGATTTTGTGAGCCATTATTGCCAGCAGGAAAGACCATCCAAAACAGCACTTTGTACTCACTTAGAACTCTTTCATAATAGCCAAGTTCTGGCAATGTGAGCTGCTCCAGACACATGAAGAGTAAGAAAAAGGAACTGGAGAAAATGCAATGGAAAGCCCAAATACGGAAAATTCTCAGCGCACTTTACACATATTATGCTGCTGGGGCCAAGTCTTGAGGAGTGGGCATCCCTCCCACCCCTGTTTCTCCAGAGGGGAACCAGAGAATGAGTTGTGCTCTCCCAATGGGCAGGAGCCCTGTCTCCTTATCCCTTTCTCCGATCCCCAGTATGTGCACAGTGCTTGGCACATAAAGGTTTGCTTAATGAAACAATGGCCACGCAACCTCCATGAAGACAGGGCGAGCTGGGTGAATATAAAGCTAATGTGTATTGAGCACTTGCTATGTGCCAGGCACTGTTCTAAAATGGTTTTCATGTATTTATTCCTTCATCTAAACTTTAAAGCAACCCCCAGTGAAATGGGTAGTTATCAGGGAACTGAGGCCAAGAGACGCTAAGTAACTTGGCTAACGTCACACAGCTAGGAAGCAGTGCAATCTAGTTTCTCTGACTCCAGAGCCTGAGCTTTTAACTTTAAGCTATAGCCTTGGTTGAAGTTATACTTCTTCACTTGCTTTTTCCACTTCAGTTGCTTAAATAAATTCACTAAAAGCCCCAAACCAAATAAAATCGACATTTCCTCTGATGGAAAAGATAAGGACCCTGTGGAGCTGACGTTGGGAACAGAATCCTTCCTCTTCTATTTGGCAGTGGGGAGGGGCAACATCCTTGGAACTCGTGCTTTCTTTGCTCAAAAGGTCGTATTTTCACATACTGATTTTCTGACAAGCAGAATGGTGTTTCATTTCAGCTCCAAGATACGGGGCATTATATGGTCACCAAACAAAACGCACAGGCACAAAGGAAGAGCCAGCAAGACCCACACTGAACTGGAATAATATATATATATTTTTTTACAACGGAAAAGGATGAACAGTATGCCTTTTGCACATGTGCAAAAAATTATCTCATCTCTTTGGTGGCAGCATCAACTGTGGGACTAACAACATTTTCCTTAAGAGTTTCCAGGTCTTATAGTTGCTATTCTTAGCTGAGCCACTGTAAAGGTCAATTTAATCAGCATAAGAACTTTCAAAGTGCCAGCATAAAAAGAGACACTGGGCAGCATGGGCTGCCCAGGGATGGTTTTAATTTGCCAATTTATGGGGATGGAAAGCCCTGTTGGCAACTGGCAAAGGCATCTTCATGTCCTTAGGAAAGCATTGAAGTTCTAAAGTTTAAAAGTAAAAAACAGGAAAATTGAAAATGCTTCACAGGATGCTAAAGCACAGGGCGCTAACTATCTTGGCTGCTGGACATGAATGAATTTGGAGCCCCACCTCTGGCTTTCCCTACAGGGAAATGGAACAGTTTCTAATGGAAACGGCCAATTCCACACATCAAATAACAAGTGTGTAACAAGTGTGTATTGATGCCCCCTCCCCATACAGGAGGCACTGTGCTGGATGCTATAGCTACAGTAACGAGCAAGAGACCCTAAGGAAAGAGATTCTGCCTTTGGCAATACAGCTCGGTAGTAACTTTAAAAATTCTTCTGTGTCAAAACCCCTAGAAA